GTACGATTGAGTAACCAGTAATTGTAGCCACGACCTTTCTAGCATTCTCATACTTACAAGATCCATATCGATCATGTCCAACGTATGGATAGCTACTTTCATTTGTAAGGCCTTTGTTTTTGATGACGTACTTGTATGCCTCTCCCATCCAACCTCCTCTGCACCCCAGATTATTTTTGTCACAATCTAGAAGTTGCTGCGCTTATAGCCTGTGGAGTTCACCGTTCTTGATCTTGTTTATAGCTTCTACCGTTGCAGTCGTGACCCATGCCCAGCAAGATCCTACAAAAAGTTTTTGATGTATATTTTACGGTGTTAACGTTCATGTACTGTGTGACGAACATAACAGAGAATAAGAAGAATGATAAATTACTTGGTTTGGGTAGGAATTTACATACATTTGAGTTGATGTGTGGACAAACTTCTAAAGAACCTAGCATTAGGCATGCTGACGTACATAGCCAGATATATATATATATAACCAAACTCTATTATAAAATTAATAGTTTTATTAATTATTGTATTGTTGGACTGCGTCTCCTATCGATTGTATAGTATCTGGTGGGCTTTTGAGCGAGCCCAATTGGCCTTTGGTTCGAGTTAGTGCTAGGGGTTTAGCACTGTATAAGTCTCTCATGTGAGAGGACCTGAGATGAGATTGTGCTTTCGGAGAGAACATGAGATAGTGGTCATGTGTGTGAGGCTTAGAGAGAGACATATGATGGATTTCTCTTGTAATATTCTACCTAGTCGTAATTGATTTCTCATCTTGCTCAATGGATATACTTCGAACTTGGTCAACTGCACCATATAAATCTCGATTTTCTTCTTCTTAATTCTTATTTTTATGTCCTGCGAACTTCTTGTTTGATCTGTCGGTTGTAGAGATCAAAATTCAGGATCTTGAATACCCAACACAAAACTGTATAGCTTTTTTAAAACTTAATTTTTAGAGGAGGGTGTTTCTTAAAAGACTAGAAGAATAGGTGCGGAAGAAGGGGGTGCTTTATGTAATTTATTTTAAAAACAAAATAAAAACTTAGAATAGAAACAAAATAAAAACTTTGAATAAAAATTTCTTACCACATTTCCCTTGATCTATAACAGGGTTTACGGCACCCTTGGTCCTCCAATCTACACTAGAAGGGACATCAGAAACATTGAGCTGTTCCGTAGTAGTCTCATACTTGATGGACCTGAGGGACTCCATAAACTCTGTTTCTGGTTCCATAACTCCACCACTGTAAATAGCTGTAAACTCTTCTGTGGTAAGATCGGCAAACTTATTGAGGCCCAGAGTATAATTATACTTTCTAGCATTATTAAAATCTTCTATAATTTTTAGATTGTCCTTGAATATTTCAAGTCGTCGAGCTCTCTCAGCTTCATCCTTATAGATTCGTCCATGCTCAGCCATCCACAACTCATGCTTTCTAGCTATTGCAAGATCACCAACTTCTTGATGATCATTAGTCGCAGCACAGAGCGTTGCAATAAGCAAGAAAAGGACAAGAGTCAAATGCCATATTGTTGCACAAGTCATTCTGTTGGATTTTTAATTGTTCTTTCTTTGGTGTGATTTTGGGAATATGAGCTAAGGCTGTGCATTTATACCCGAGCTAGTGGACGTTGTATGACTATGCTATTAAATCCGAGGGGACCCAATTCTACAAGAATTGGTTGAATATTTATTAGAGCTAGTGGACGTTATATGACTATGATATTAAATCCGAGGGGACCCATAATCATCTCTCTCTTTCACATGCAAATTTTTGAACTACTCCAAAGGCTCAAAAACATGTCATGCGTTAAAAAACTACCATCTATCCATCTATCCTATTAAAAATTGACATGTTAACACCTAATCCAATCTTCACTTAAGAATACTAATCAAACTAAAACAATCAATAAGCAAAAACTTTTAATAATCAAAATACTCATTTCTAATCATCTTTACTAAAGAATCATTATCAAGTTAAAACTATCCATAAATTGGAATTCTATTAACCAAAGACATTCTTTATATAAAAAGATTTTTCTAGATAAGGAAATTATCAAGTACCTCTTCAAAAATCTAAAAATTACAAATAACTCTTGAATCCAAAAATTACAAACTGCCGTCTAAAATCCAAAATTTAGAAACAACCTGTTGCTAACACTAAAATTTCAAATAGGATCTTTACAAAATAAGAAATTTTCTAACAACTACTTAAGATTTAAAAACTACGAATAAAACCTAAAAAATATATTAATTGCAAATAGCACCATGAAATTTTAAAAATTATAAATTGCCTCTTTCAAAATCCATAAATTGTTAATAATTCCTTAAAAATCTGAAACCTACAAAAAGTCATATAATAAATTAAAAAAATATACAAATTACCCCTTGAAAATTTATAAGCAATCCTTTAAAATCTATACAACTAGCCTTTTGATAGTTTTAAAAATAATAAATATCCAGCTAAACTTTTTACAGACCACCCATTTAAAATTTTACAACTAGATCCATGAAAAGTGTAAAAATGGAAACTACCTCACTGAGAGTTTAAAAATATTATAAAAACTTTCTAAAAGCTTACAAATGACCCCTTGAAAGTTTTAACTTATAAACACACCACAAAAAATATAAAAATTATAAATTGCCCCATGAGATTAAAAAAATAATAAATAAATCCTGAGAAAATTGGGAGTTATGAATAGTACACAAAATTAATAATATTATAAAATGCCCCTTTAAAATTTATAAATTATGAACAGTCCCTAAAAAATTCATAAATTAGAAATAATCTTCTACAAAGTTTGATAATTATAGATAGCCACTAAACTATTACAAAAAACGCTTAAAACATTTTAACCTGTCCCTTTAAAGTTTTGAAACATATAAATATCCTCTTAAAAGTATCACAAATAGCTATTCACAAATTTTACAAGTAGCTCATACAAGTTGATAAAGTAACAAACATTGTACTGAAAAGTTTATTCCTAACAATTTTACATACAACCTCTTGAAAGTTCTAGAATTACGAACACCTCTGAATAATTTACACAAAGCCCATTGAAGTTTTTAAACAACCAAACAACTTTACTAAACTACTGCACCCTAAAATTACAAATGGCCATCTAATTTATTTTACTATATTTTAATATATCAATGGTGTTTATAATGCATGAGGTGGGTGGGTATAATAATCATGGGAACTTCTAGGTTATTAATAGTAGGGGATGAATGAGATGCTTACTATCCATTTTGGGGATTAGAGAAAAGTCCTAATCTCAATTCGTGCCTCAATCCCGGACGAATCAAATATAAGCCTTAATTCAAATTTCAGTACATTGAAATTTAAGATTGATGGTTAAGCTATCTAGTTTGAAATTTGAAAATTTAAGATTGTAGTTAATCTAAGAAGAAACCTACCACTCAAACTAGGATGGTTTATCATATTTAAAGGACATATAAATCAACAAATATAAATTAAAGAAATTAAAATAATTTATATGAGCACGAGTTTGATACTTGTAACTATATGATAATAAAACTGTATGGACCCGATTCAACAAGAATTGGTTGAATACTTATATAAGCGGTACTCACATCGACAATACGTTTAGAAATATAATTTTGAGATTTGATAACTTGGAGCGTTCTGAACCATACATTGTGGATCATTATTTAATTAATTTCTTAGGGTTAGGTTGCATTGGGTCCTAGGTTATTTAATAGAGAACTACTCTATGTCCTTGATCATCTATCCTTTTGTGAGTGAGAAATTATTTCAAGTCTACTGTGTTTTCTAAGGTAAAGATCATCATTTTTTTTTAATGGGAGAAGGAAATAGGCTAAAATAACACATTAGCCGAAAAAGTAATACCCATTTACCAGTTTTGTCTATAACATGACGCTAACGACAGTTTAGCTTAAAAAGTTACAAAAACAATGTTAAATAGGCATTTCTAGTACCGGAGATAATTTTTAAGTGAAAAATTTCGTGATTTTTATATATAAACCTCCCACTCTATCATATTTTCAGATTTATCTTCTCAACTTTAAAATATGTGGAAAAAGCTATCCCCCCGCTCCAACCACCCATCATCGCCTCCCTCCTCCGTCCCACCATCTCTTCCATTCTTTTCTCATCCTGATCCTTAGCCTCTCCTCTCTACCACTCACTCTCTTTCTCTCTCCTTTTTCATATCCTCCATATTACTTTCTTCTTTTCCTCTTTCTCCAAATCCATCTCTTCTTAACTTCTTTCACTTCTCTCTCTTCTTTTTCCTCTTGTCCCTCCTTCTCTTCTCTCCCTCACCCCTTCCAATGCTTCAAGTAGAATGTTTAATGTTGGGTTTGAGAAAAAATGAGGAGGAAGAGGAGGGGAGGTTAGGGATTTGGAGGATAAGAGAATGAAGGAGATGGTGGAAAGGAGAAGATAAGAATGAGCAAGAGAGGATGGAG